TCCTGTTTTGTTCCCTTTCTCTTTGCTGGTGGTGTGCTAGACTCACACAAGTCTCTAAGACAATAATCATAAGTTTAAATCATAATTTCTAGGTTATGTAAATAATAAAAACAAGATGTCCCTATAAGAGACTGTCCACATATGTAGACTTGCCTCTTAGGAGGATAGAATTACTACATATCCATGGACTTTTCTTTCAGTACAGCCTTGGAGCAAGGCTAGTGGTGTGTGTGTACGATATTCAGTTTTAATAGGTTCGGGGAAGGGCTGCTGCAGAGTGCGAATGTACTGACAGATGAACGTGCTGCTGAGAAGCAAGCCATGAACTTCCACTCATTCTCTGAAACAATAAGTTATGACATAAACTACTTTGGCCATTGCATGTGACTCTTCGTGTTTCTCTTCCAAAGCTGGCAGAGAGATCAAAGTAAACGTTGTTCTTTGTAGGTGACAATAAGAGAGCATGTGTTTGAATAAATTATCAAAATAATGAATTAACGATAATATTTTTTCAAATTGAAAAGTGAAATTTAATTTGTTTTGTCACATTGGTCACAAAGTTAAGAAGCAGTGATGTTGAAACTCTGCATCTCTCACACAACATTGTATAAATACTAAAAGTTAAGATGTGTTTCCATGACAACAGCTCTCCTGGGCCTTTGTAGCCTCATCAATGTTGGCAATGTGTTGCAATTGGGTGTGTATTTTTCACATTCGACTAGTATGCAGTGTTATCTTTTGGCTAAAAAAGTAATAGTCTTGGTTCTCAGGCACTGGCCACATCATCATAAAGTTTATTGCCCTTTTCGTTTTTGTTTCCATTTTCATATTTTGTGTGCATTGTGTTTAAGTATTAGGATTTTTATATTTTTTTGACAAAATGTGCGGCAGACTTTATAATGATGCGTGTGGTGCCTGAGAACCAAGACTGCCAGGTTTTGAGCCTTATGTGTGTGAATACATCAATACTTGTAGCATATTTTCTGAATATTTCGATATTAAAGTGTGTATATCTTGCTTCCTTGGTAAATATGTGCAGTAAGACAGGGTGAGTGAGTTCTTGATGAGCTAATAAATGAAGAGCTCAGGTGTGGTTCCAACAAGGGTCATATTGGACGAGAGCTCTAGGGTTTTGGTGTTTAAAAATCTGTGTTGTTTAAAAAGCTGTTGAAGCAGTGATTGTCCCTGTATTGGCATTGTGAATGTCAATATGTGTTGATAGGATAGCTCTACACATTGGAGTTGACCTTTACTGAAAGTCCACAAGCACTGCTATCTCCGATCTCTGGTGTTGCCACAGTGAAGGTAGAGGGGAATCCCCAGCTCAGCTTGTAGTCGCGTGACATTCAGTATTCCCTGTAATCCAGAGGCCAAGAAAAATCAAAAGGGTCGCTTATTCAAACCACACACACGTTAAATTCATTGTTCTAAATTTAGTGTTAGAGAACACACTGAGGTCAAAAGTTGATGAAACTAAACCTTTTTTAATAATAGTTAGGACGCAATAATTGTTGTTTCTGTATAAAAAATGTGTATTTTACACAAATTTTGCAAATTGTTTAGCTTAGCTTTTTGATTTTAACTTAGCCATTATGAGGATTACTTACAGATTGGTCTAGAAATTGATCGGGCAGTTGGGTAGCCTAGTGGTTAAAGCGTTCGCTCGTCACACTGAAGACCCGGGTTCGATTCCGACATGGGTACAATGTGTGAAGCCCATTTCTGGTGTCCCCGGCCGTGATATTGCTGGATTAGCTAAAGGCTGCGTAAAATCAAACTCACTCACTCATTCACCAGAAATTGATGAGTAGGTGCTTACTGGAGCAATACCATCCTCAAATGGTTCCTATACCAGCATCGCCTATCAGGACCTTCGTATCAACAGACCAACAATCTCATTAAAATCAGATCTTAGGTCTCGCTTCCCGCTAAACAAAGATCTGAGGACATCCCATTACAGGTCACGTCAGACCGACTTTGTGCGAACTTTGGCCGACCGATAGAAGGACTGACAAGAAGTTGACATTAGCCAATTAGAAGGCAGCTTTCTCCTGCATTACGGCACTCATTTCAAATTGGCAACTACCCTTCGAAACATATTTTGACAAATTCTCAATTACAAATTTGAAACCTGAACAAAAGAACATTCTGGAATGGCTAATAGATGGTCTACATTGTAGGGATTTAGTCATTAAACCCGTAACTATCGTTCGAAATATCCCGTGTTAAAGTTTTCGAGGTTGCATTATCAGAATTCACATTCCGAATGTTACTTTAATGATCTGGTAAACGACGCTCTGGTTGGTCAGATGAAAGGTAGTTCTGACGTGACCCCTAATTTGATGTCCTCAGATCTTTGTTTGGCGGTAGCGAGAATTAAGATCTTATTTTAATGAGATTGACAGACCAACTACCACCAACTTAGGACCAACAATTGACAAAGTAGATTGCCTCAGCAAGTATCACACAGAAATGATCAGAATTATTAATATATCAATTAAAAAAATCAGTGACTCTATTTTCATGACCAACTCCCACCTAGTTTTCACAACCTTTGGTATGTAGTCATTTTTTATTGGAGTGTCACCTGATCTGTTGTGCGAGCCCTGTGATAAATACCTGGTGTCTATCCAAACAGAAACGTGTACCCTACCTCCCTGAAATGTGGTGTGTTGTGTACACATACCTGTGTCGTGCTGGGCCACTGACACACATTCACCAGCATGGGTTGCTGGGTACTTCCCCTGATAAGCAGGACCGTTAGTGTACTTCATCATAATCTACAGGAGAGGAGATGAATGAAATTCTCGTTAGAGTGTAAGGTTCTAGTCTACACAACTAATCATGGTTATCAAGCTGCTGTGCAGTAAATCTGTTATGGTGGTCTTCGAGTTCATTTGTCTCAACACACTGCCATGATTTCATGTATATTGTTGAAGGGGATGCAGGGGTTGAAGGAGATGCAGGGGTTGAAGGGGTTGAAGGGGATGCAGGGCTGAAGGGGATGCAGGGGTTGAAGGGGATGCAGGAGTTGAAGGGGATGCATGGTTGAAGGAGATGCAGGGGTTGAAGGGGTTGAAGGGGATGCAGGGCTGAAGGGGATGCAGGGGTTGAAGGGGATGCATGGTTGAAGAAGATGCAGGAGTTGAAGGGGATGCAGGAGTTGAAGGAGATGCAGGGGTTGAAGGGGATGCAGGGCTGAAGGAGATGCAGGAGTTGAAGGAGATGCAGGGGTTGAAGGGGATGCAGGAGTTGAAGGAGATACAGGAGTTGAAGGAGATGCAGGGGTTGAAGGGGATGCAGGGATGAAGGGGATGCAGGGGGTTGAAGGGGATGCAGGAGTTGAAGGAGATGCAGGAGTTGAAGGAGATGCAGGGGTTGAAGGGGATGCAGGGCTGAAGGGGATGCAGGGGTTGAAGGGGATGCATGGTTGAAGGAGATGCAGGAGTTGAAGGGGATGCAGGGCTGAAGGGGATGCAGGGGTTGAAGGGGATGCATGGTTGAAGGAGATGCAGGAGTTGAAGGGGATGCAGGGGCTTAAGGGGATGCAGGGGTTGAAGGGGATGCATGGTTGAAGGAGATGCAGGAGTTGAAGGGGATGCAGGGCTGAAGGGGATGCAGGGGTTGAAGGGGATGCAGGGCTGAAGGGGATGCAGGAGTTGAAGGGGATGCATGGTTGAAGGAGATGCAGGGGTTGAAGGGGATGCAGGGCTGAAGGGGATGCAGGGGTTGAAGGGGATGCATGGTTGAAGGAGATGCAGGAGTTGAAGGGGATGCAGGGCTGAAGGGGATGCAGGGGTTGAAGGGGATGCATGGTTGAAGGAGATGCAGGAGTTGAAGGGGATGCAGGGGCTTAAGGGGATGCAGGGGTTGAAGGGGATGCATGGTTGAAGGGGATGCAGGGGTTGAAGGGGATGAATGGGTTGAAGGGGGTTCAGGTTTGAAGGGAATGCAGGGGTTGAAGGGGATGCAGTTTGAAGGGGTTGAAGGGGATGAATGGGTTGAAGGGGGTTCAGGGTTGAAGGGGATGCAGGGGTTGAAGGGGATGCGGGGAATATAAGGGGTGCTCACCAACCAACCCCTAACAATCGTCTCAGTCGTCTATCATGTATTTTTGTTCACACAGTGTGACTCCCTGCTTCAAAGTCTTATATTCCTCTCTGTAGCCTGCTTTGATGATTCAGTCTGTTGCAACTGTATTTCAGATTTGACATTTTCCCAACCACATCTTATTGAGAGTAATGCTTGTGAAAGGAGATCATTCAGTTTGACTTCAGTGGTTGGAATTTAGAATACAAGTCGAGGGTCCTTGTAATGACGAGAGTAGGGGGTTGTAGTTTCAGATTCTGTGGAATGAAAACCTCAAGGACCTTGAAGTCCATGACCTTTCTTTTTTCATCTTCCAGAGGCAAGATGCCTCTTTTAAATGACTTTTCTTATCTGCTAACCATTGCAATGTTTCATCAAGGTGTCGCCAATGACAATAGATTCCGATTGATAGCGCAGACAATCTGCTGAAAACACATTGATGAGTCTGATAGATGGGTCTGACATTAACTAGCAAGAACATAGGTATTGCGGTGCAGGCTCTCATCATTCCACTTACAGACATCACCTGGCTCCATGTTGTCCATGTTGTATGGAGAAGCCTGTGATACAATTTGCAAAACTTATGTAATAATTCTGTGTACAAGTGAAACCATCATTGAAATGTTTGTTTACGTTTTTGAATCAAAATTTTATACAGCAAAATAGATATATTTTTTATCCCAAAACATGTTCAAATTTGATATTTGTTCTTCCATTATTCAACCACATCCCATATCTATTTTGTCCTTGCATTTGGACTGGATCCGGACTTTTAGTGTTTTGTTGGAAACAAGTTTACGTTGATAATTTACATCTAGTGTAAATCTGCACATAGTTACGTTACACACACGCGCACACGCGCACGCACGCACACGCACACACACTATGACCACTTCCATGTGTTGATGTAGGAGGCCTCATCATGGGCGTCGGCATCGAGACGTCTTCCCACAAGTACGGCCTGTTCCAGCACTGCTGCGAGTCCTTTCAACTGGTCGTGGCGGATGGGAGCATCGTCAAATGCTCAAAGGTAATGAACAAAACATAGCAAACAGAATAAGGATAAGTCTTTGAAAGCCATTTCAAACTCATACACATCAGGAAGAGAATTTATGGATGTCAACTTCTTTATTATGAGGACAACACGGTTTTGGAGTATATTCTTACTACTTCATCAGGTGGATGAATGCCATGAGGCAGAGACCATATATATATGTACCTGTAAGGATGCTCTCTGCCTCATAGCATTCATTCACCTGATGAAAGAGTAAGTATATACTCCTAAACCATCGTGTCGTGTCGTGTTCCTCATAATAAAGAAGTTGACATCCATAAAGTGTACGGTTAGTTAGTGAATAATATACTTCAAAGATCATATATATTTCATTTTGAAAAATTAAGTATTGAAAAAAAAATTGATATGAAATGTTCAAATACATTATATTGACAAGTTAACAGAGAAATTCTTGATGATATACAAAGCTGACAAGATGGGGTAGTGTAGTGTTGGGTTGGTTGGTTGGATTGTTGTTTAATGCCGCACTCAGTAATATTCCAGCTAATGACGGCGGCTGTAAATAATCGAGTCTGGACCAGACAACTGAATCGTTGACATGCATCAACCTGGTCAGTGAGCCTGACCACCCGATCCTGTTAGTCACCTTTTACGACAAGCATGGGTTGCTGAAAACCTATTCCACCCCGAATCTTCACGGGTCAGTAGTGTTGGGAGTGTGTGTTTGCATGTCACAGGGACATCGAGATGGAATGTGCTCTTTACCTTGGTTACAGTGACCTGTGTAATCACATTACTTAGAGGAGCATTTATATCCTGAATGTGAAGTGTCTAGTGATGATACGATCTGTATTTCCCTCCTGTGTGTAACATGTATGTAAATACTACAATGTACTACATGTACATATTTATCATGTGTTTAGGTCTGTTTTATTTTTACCACATTAACTGACAGCTGATTCATGGATAAATGATGGGATAAAAGTTTTGATATTTGTTTTTAATATTTGCCTTTTCAGCTATCAAACCTGCATGAAGAGTTAGTAGCTCTCACTCGTGCTAACAGATACTGTTCACTTTTAGCTCACCTGACATTACATCCTTAATTACAAGAGTAAACAATCATGTCAAAATGTCAAAAGTTTGCTTTTGGTGATAGAAATTATATGAAACTGCTCTGTTGAGATTATTTTGATTTGAGTGATTTACTGCTGTTTGGTTCATTTCAAATCTAGGACCAATGAATGTCATGCGTAGTGTCATCCAATATCAACCTACGATAAAATGCCACCACCTGTCAACTCACTTCAAAATCTCTTGTGACTTGCCCTTAATAACTTGTCATGATTGAATGTTAGACTGTGGAAGTAACTAACCTGAACATATAGCTTGTAGGCAAGTTGTCCCGTTGTCAGGTAACTGCAAATTACATCAGCAGTCAATTGCAGTATAGTATAATTGAAATGAAAGATTGTTTGTTTGTTTGTTGTTTAACACTGTACTCAGCAATATTCCAGTTGTATGACAGCAGTCTGTAAATAGTCTGGACCAGACAATCTAGTGATTGACATCATGAGCATTGATCCACGCAACTGGAATACGCAATAGGGATATGATGACATACATCAACCCAGTTAGCGAGTCTGACCACCCGATCATGTTAGTCGCCTCTTACAACTAGCAAGAATGGGTTGCTGAACAGCTGAAGACCTATTCCACCCCGGATCTTCACGGGTCGGAAATGAATGAAGATATTGTTATGAAGATAGAGTTTTGATGTTCATGATGTACACCTGAACCTGGTATTATTCTAGCGTTACAATGGCAGCGAGTAATGGATCTGTTTGAGTGTCTCGTCAGCTGTCTCCTGATTGGTTAAATTACCATATATTTGAACCAAATAGGATTAAACATCTGTCACTGCTTATTAATGTTCAATCCGGTGTGTGAGGTTCCAATCTTTAGCAGTTGAATATATATTGACAAGGCGAGAGCGGGTCAGAATTTGCCAACATCACGCTGGAACCTTGTCCTTCGCAACATTCATACCTTTCCAGTAATTGCTGGTCTTAGTAGCAGACAGAGTTATCTTCCCATTTCTCTGTTATTTCGGTAGCACACAATTCCAAATAAACAAATTCCAATCACTCCAATATTGAACTTTAGAATTCTATTTTAATAATAAACATGTGCCCAATGTTTCTAACAAAATAATTTGATCATATTTCCAGACAGAGAACACTGATTTGTTTTATGCTGTGCCCTGGTCGTATGGAACCTTGGGATTTCTTGTTTCTGCGGAGATAAAGATTATCCCGGCCAAGAAGTTCGTGAAGATAGAGTACTATCCAGTCCACACCAAGAGGGAGATGCTGCGCAAGTTCGAGGAAGAAATCAAGAAGAAGTCTGGCAATGAGTTTGTGGAGGGTTTGGCGTACTCTCGAGAGAAGGGGGTCATCATGACCGCCAACATGACCGACGAGGCGGAACATGACAAGGTGGGGACTTCAAGTGGTGCATTATGGGAGGTTATTGCAAGAAATATGTCATATAGAAAAGAAATTGGCCTCTAGTGAGTGAGTATGGTTTTACGCCGCTTTTAGCAATATTCCAGCAATATCACGGCGGGGGACACCAGAAATGGGCTTCACACATTGTACCCATGTCGAGAATCGAACCCGGGTCTTCGGCGTGAAAAGTGAACGCTTTAACCAGTAGGCTACCCGACCGACCCAATTGGCCTCTAGACAAATATTTAAGGATGTTTTCATTCATGGTAATAGTGAGTCTATAAATGGTATTATTGTGCTGAAAACATAGAGCATCTCTCAGTATTATGATTGTGAAAAATATGTGTCAGCTGGCTGGCTTGACGGAGGGGATGAGGGAGAGGGGTGGGGCAGTGGGGGTGAGGGAGAGGGCTGTGGGGTGGGGAAACTCACATGTATAAACATTGCAAAATACAATTTGGTCACCCCTACTACTTTCCTACTTCCTGTAATCTGACAGGTGCCCTTCTAGATGGGGTATAAATGACTGTATTGTGTATGTGGTTACAATGAATGACTGTATAGTGTATGTGTTTACAGTGAATGACTTAATGTGTATGTGTTTACAGTGAATGACTGTATTGTGTATGTGTTTACAGTGAATGACTGTATTGTGTATGTGTTTACAGTGAATGACTGTATTGTGTATGTGTTTACAGTGAATGACTGTATTGTGTATGTGTTTAAAGTGAATGACTGTATTGTGTATGTGTTAACAGTGAATGACCGTGTTGTGTATGTGTTAACAGTGAATGACTGTATTGTGTATGTGTTTACAATGAATGACTGTATTGTGTATGTGTTTACAGTGAATGACTGTATTGTGTATGTGTTTAAAGTGAATGACTGTATTGTGTATGTGTTTAAAGTGAATGACTGTATTGTGTATGTGTTTAAAATGAATGACTGTATTGTGTATGTGTTTACAGTGAATGACTGTATTGTGTATGTGTTTACAGTGAATGACTGTATTGTGTATGTGTTTACAGTGAATGACTTAATGTGTATGTGTTTACAGTGAATGACTGTATTGTGTATGTGTTTACAGTGAATGACTGTATAGTGTATGTGTTTAAAGTGAATGACTGTATTGTGTATGTTTTTACAATGAATGACTGTATTGTGTATGTGTTTAAAGTGAATGACTGTATTGTGTATGTGTTTACAGTGAATGACTGTATTGTGTATGTGTTTAAAGGGAATGACTGTATTGTGTATGTGTTTAAAGTGAATGACTGTATTGTGTATGTGTTTACAGTGAATGACTGTATTGTGTATGTGTTTACAGTTAATGACTGTATTGTGTATGTGTTTACAGTGAATGACTGTATTGTGTATGTGTTTACAGTGAATGACTGTATTGTGTATGTGTTTAAAGTGAATGACTGTATTGTGTATGTGTTTACAGTGAATGACTGTATTGTGTACGTGTTTACAGTGAATGACTGTATTGTGTATGTGTTTACAATGAATGACTGTATTGTGTATGTGTTTAAAGTGAATGACTGTATGGTGTATGTGTTTAAAGTGAATGACTGTGTTGTGTATGTGTTTACAGTGAATGACTGTATTGTGTATGTGTTTACAGTGAATGACTGTATTGTGTATGTGTTTAAAGTGAATGACTGTATTGTGTATGTGTTTACAGTTAATGACTGTATTGTGTATGTGTTTACAGTGAATGACTGTATTGTGTATGTGTTTAAAGTGAATGACTGTATTGTGTATGTGTTTACATTAAATGACTGTATTGTGTATGTGTTTAAAGTGAATGACTGTATTGTGTATGTGTTTACAGTGAATGACTGTATTGTGTATGTGTTTACAATGAATGACTGTATTGTGTATGTGTTTAAAGTGAATGACTGTATTGTGTATGTGTTTACATTAAATGACTGTATAGTGTATGTGTTTAAAGTGAATGATTGTATTGTGTATGTGTTTATGGTGAATGATTGTATGGTGTATGTGGTTACAATGAATGACTGTATGGTGTATGTGTTTAAAGTGAATGACTGTATGGTGTATGTGGTTACAGTGAATGACTATATTGTGTATGTGTTACATTAAAAGACTGAAATGGTGTATCTGGTTTCAGATCAACTCCATCGGAAACTTTTGGAAGCCCTGGTTCTACAAACACGTGGAGGAGTTTCTCCGTACAGGCCCTGCTGTGGAGTACATCCCCCTCCGCCACTACTACCACCGCCACACTCGCAGCATCTTCTGGGAACTCGAGGTACTCGGAAGTGTTGCCATTTCCTTCATTGATATTAGTTGGCATCAGAATATGCATTTTCTCCTGACATAGTTGTGAAATGAGTATATACGATCCAGTATTTGAGAAATCCTACTTCATTAGTGCACACTGGGAGTGTCATGATTCACGGATTTATCATCCACCTGTCACTATGATATGGGACTCACCTACCTGTGTAACGATTCATGGTTTTGTTCTGAATCTATTATGAGTATGTATATGTGAGTTTTTTATTGTGCAGTTTATTCTCCCTGTAGTGTTATATTGTATGGTAAACGACCTTGGGTCGTTTATTTCTTATATGAGATTCTGTACAGCCTCTTTAAGGATGTCAATAAAATGTACAAGATTTAAAAATATTTACCAGTATTTGAATACTGATGACTCCCTGAATACAATCCTACTTTGGCAATGTTCGACGAGTCCATTTTATGAATAGGGGGTTAAGTTTGGCATTTGCCGGATATTCTCACTCCTTTCATGTCGAGTATCTGTACCTTTTCTCCCTTTACCATTTGTCATATCTCTACCACTTTTGGGTGCGATTGTTCGCCCATGGCGTTGATCTATGTTGCCTAGCTACATCAATGGGGAACAACTCACTAGACACTTCCCTCTCAAAAATAACATTGTCCAATTTACGACGTCGTCATGTTGGGAACTCATGTTCAAATCTCAAAAATGATGTCATGATAGAACAGTGTTTTATCGTGAAATAAACCACACTTTGTCCTTCATTGATCTTAGCGATTTATTGTACAAATATCTTTTACGATAAAATAATATTTACAAAGTCCGGCCTTGTAGGGGCATAAATTATATTGCATAATACTAACCGAGTCAGCCTACATCAACAAGTAGTACCCAAACTGGATGATAGCAACAATGTCATGTCACACGTTGTAATTACTAAGCACATTATATGTATAACCATGTGACAGTATGTATGAGATGTGACACATAGTGGTAGTTAACATGGTGCCTTTCCTCTCAGGATATCATCCCCTTCGGCAACAACCCCGTGTTTCGATACCTCCTGGGTTGGATGGTGCCCCCCAAGATCTCTCTACTGAAGCTCACCCAAGGGGAGACAATCAAGAGGATGTACGAGAAGTACCAGATCATCCAGGACATGCTCATCCCTCTGAAGGACCTCAGTGACGCACTCTCGGTCTTCCACCAGGAACTCGACGTACGTACACATGAAACACAGGGTTTTGTTTGTTTGTTTGTTTGTTTGTTTGTTCGATGTTTCATGCTGCACTCAGCAATGTCCCAGCTAGATGATGGTTGTCTGTAAATAGTTGAGTCAGGACCGATAATCCAGTGACTGACATCATGAGCATCAATCTACGTGGTCAGTGAGAATGACCACCTGATCCGGTTAGTCACCTCTGCTGACAAGCATAGTTGCCTCTTATGGCATGGGTTGTTGAAGACCTATTTTACCAGATCTTCACGGGTACATTGCTGGGTGCAGCCATTATGGTTAGAATCGAGTTTATTGTGTCCGCTATCAGAGTTAGTTTATGTAGGGCAGCCTGAATACCGGACCATGGTGTGGGAGGTTTATCTGCTGTGTATGAGGTGAGATAGTGTCAGTGGGGTGACATGGACTTCCATCCTAGTTTGTCATGTCTCAGCAATTTATCAATGTCGTGGTGTTATCAGCCTGATATCTGCCAGTCCTGACGGAACCAGCCAATCAGCAGACAGTCCAAATCCCACTGTTTCTTGGGTCAACCTAACTGCCCTGTGCAAAACATTTGAACCACCTGAAAAGTTGATATTTTAAAAAAAAATAATGAAGATATTTGATAGCCATAAAGAGCCTCCGTATTAAGATGAATGTTTCTTTTTTATGGAGACATACGAGACGATTTAGATTCGCACACACACACTATTTAGGATGAGACAATTGTATAATATAGCTTCCCTATTGACAGCTGTACACACTGTGGTATATTGACTATATCCTCTCTATTGACAGCTGTACACACTGTGGTATATTGACTATATCTTCTCTATTGACAGCTGTATCCACTGTGGTATATTAACTATATCCTCCCTATTGACAGCTGTATCCACTGTGGTATATTAACTATATCGTCTCTATTGACAGCTGTACCCACTGTGGTATATTAACTATATCCTCCCTATTGACAGCTGTACCCACTGTGGTATATTAACTACATCGTCTCTATTGACAGCTGTACCCACTGTGGTATATTAACTACATCCTCCCTATTGACAGCTGTACCCAGTGTGGTATATTAACTATATCCTCCCTATTGACAGCTGTACCCACTGTGGTATATTAACTACATCCTCCCTATTGACAGCTGTACCCACTGTGGTATATTAACTACATCCTCCCTATTGACAGCTGTACCCACTGTGGTATATTAACTATATCCTCCCTATTGACAGCTGTACCCACTGTGGTATATTAACTATATCCTCCCTATTGACAGCTGTACCCACTGTGGTATATTAACTATATCCTCCCAATTGACAGCTGTATCCACTGTGGTATATTAACTATATCATCTCTATTGACAGCTGTACCCACTGTGGTATATTAACTATATCCTCCCTATTGACAGCTGTACCCACTGTGGTATATTAACTATATCATCTCTATTGACAGCTGTATCCACTGTGGTATATTAACTATATCGTTTCTATTGACAGCTGTACCCACTGTGGTATATTAACTACATCCTCCCTATTGACAGCTGTACCCAGTGTGGTATATTAACTATATCCTCCCTATTGACAGCTGTACCCACTGTGGTATATTAACTATATCCTCCCAATTGACAGCTGTATCCACTGTGGTATATTAACTATATCATCTCTATTGACAGCTGTACCCACTGTGGTATATTAACTATATCCTCCCTATTGACAGCTGTACCCACTGTGGTATATTAACTATATGATCTCTATTGACAGCTGTATCCACTGTGGTATATTAACTATATCGTTTCTATTGACAGCTGTACCCACTGTGGTATATTAACTACATCCTCCCTATTGACAGCTGTACCCACTGTGGTATATTAACTACATCCTCCCTATTGACAGCTGTACCCACTGTGGTATATTAACTATATCCTCCCTATTGACAGCTGTACCCACTGTGGTATATTAACTACATCCTCCCTATTGACAGCTGTACCCACTGTGGTATATTAACTACATCCTCCCTATTGACAGCTGTACCCACTGTGGTATATTAACTATATCCTCCCTATTGACAGCTGTACCCACTGTGGTATATTAACTACATCCTCCCTATTGACAGCTGTACCCACTGTGGTATATTAACTATATCCTCCCTATTGACAGCTGTACCCACTGTGGTATATTAACTATATCCTCCCTATTGACAGCTGTACCCACTGTGGTATATTAACTATATCCTCCCAATTGACAGCTGTATCCACTGTGGTATATTAACTATATCATCTCTATTGACAGCTGTACCCACTGTGGTATATTAACTATATCCTCCCTATTGACAGCTGTACCCACTGTGGTATATTAACTATATCATCTCTATTGACAGCTGTATCCACTGTGGTATATTAACTATATCGTTTCTATTGACAGCTGTACCCACTGTGGTATATTAACTATATCCTCCCTATTGACAGCTGTACCCACTGTGGTATATTAACTATATCATCTCTATTGACAGCTGTATCCACTGTGGTATATTAACTATATCGTCTCTATTGACAGCTGTACCCACTGTGGTATATTAACTATATCCTCCCTATTGACAGCTGTACACACTGTGGTATATTAACTATATCATCTCTATTGACAGCTGTATCCACTGTGGTATATTAACTATATCGTCTCTATTGACAGCTGTACCCACTGTGGTATATTAACTATATCGTCTCTATTGACAGCTGTACCCACTGTGGTATATTAACTATATCATCTCTATTGACAGCTGTACCCACTGTGGCTATGCCCCTTCATGCTGTACAATAACCCTGGAATGGTGCACCCTGCCAGTGGTGAGGACGAACTGTATGTTGACATCGGTGCCTACGGAGCACCCAAGAACCCGAGCTTCAACACCATCCCGTCCACCAGAAGAATCGAGTCCTATGTCAAGAAAGTCCATGGGTAGGTAGACAAACATCAACTATTATCCATGGTCAGGGTAGATAGACAAACTGCTTTTTCGTCATTTTTATAAATAACATGGTGAGACATTAATTATTATTTACAGTGGTCTGCAAGAATGAGCTGCTACAGAGTTGCCTCTTCTTATCATGGCGAAAACAAGAATAGATAATTATATAAGTTCACAGATCAGGGATATTGCATTGAAGATTCACAAACTCTTAGATTCTTCTGACTGGGTTTATGACATTTGAGTGCTTGTAGCTGCTTGTTGTGACAGCCAACAAACCTCGACCCTGTGAAGATCCGGGTTAGAGTTGGTCTTCAGCAACCCATGCTTGTCGTAAGAGGTGACTAATGGGATCAGGTGGTCAGGCTTGCTGACATGGTTGATGCATGTTATCATATCCCAGTTGCATAGATCAATGCTCATGATGTCAATCACTGGATTGTCTCATCCTGACTCGATTACTTACAGACCGACATCATATAGCTGGAATATTGCTGAGTGATCCGTTAAACAACAAACAATAAAACTAAGGGAGGGATAAATGTCCCTCTGTGTACCAGCATGGCGCAGATTTATGCTCATGGTATCGATCTCTGGTTTCAGACTTCATGTGTTACATGTGTTTATGATGGGATTGTACAAACTAAATTTACATTTAGAGACCTATGAAGGTCATGAGATCTACATGACCATTTAAATTGTAAATGCACATCGCATTATTGTGTCATATAACAGATTGATCAATTATGTACTGCCCTCCACAAATACATCCTCCTTGCAGGAACACATAGCTTTCAGGAACACATTGCTTGCAGGAACACATTGCTTGTATGAAGTCATTGCTTGTATGAAGTCATTGCTTGCAGGAACACATTGCTTGCAGGAACACATTGCTTGTATGAAGTCATTGCTTGTATGAAGTCATTGCTTGTATGAAGTCATTGCTTGTATGAACACATTGCTTGCAGGAACACATTGCTTGTATGAAGTCATTGCTTGTATGAAGTCATTGCTTGTATGAAGTCATTGCTTGTATGAACACATTGCTTGCAGGAACACATTGCTTGTATGAAGTCATTGCTTGTATGAAGTCATTGCTTGTATGAAGTCATTGCTTGCAGGAACACATTGCTTGTATGAAGTCATTGCTTGTATGAAGTCATTGCTTGTATGAAGTCATTGCTTGTATGAAGTCATTGCTTGAATAGTGTTGAAACCCAACAAGACAGTCGGCAGGTGACCCATAAGTGTTGCCTCCCATCTTCCAAGTTACCTGCCTGCACATTATAAATATTTAAAAAAATCGAAAAAATGAGAGACAATTAGTGTCTTGATTCGGTTGAAATAATGCAAACAATTTCTTGAGAATCTACAAGAATTTATAATAAAACTGAATATGTTATTATTCAAAAACCTATCTGCCTGACAGTTGAGCAGGTAGAGGAGAATTCATGCAGCCCGACGGGAAAGTTCCCAGCCATGGGCCGGCAGGCAGGCAGTTATTTCGTGTGATACATGTATGTCCTACAATGTGCATCTGTCTGTTCCAGCTTCCAGATGCTGTATGCAGATTCCTACCTCACCCGCGAAGAGTTCTACGACATGTTCGACCACTCCCTGTACGACAAGATGCGCCTGAAGTTGGACTGCTGGAAGGCTTTCCCTGAAGTCTATGACAAAGTCAACCGCAAAGTCCGCGACTAGTCCTAGGGTCAACCAATCATTCTTTCGATGGAAACAAATATTGTGGCTCTGTTTACCCAACAATTCTTGTTTCAATCCTGATTCTGCCATTTTGTTGACAATTTTACATGTAGGTTGTTGATGAGTTACAAATTGATTTGACTAATAATAAGCAGTGGTTTGGAAAGCAGTGTTTTGTCTCCACTGACAGTGCTGGTGTATAAATCGACAATTCCACAAAGTGTGAGTAAGAAGTTGTAGTACATACCATGGATAAAAAATCTAGTCTGTCTCAACTTGATGTCACTTTGTATGATTTAGAAAAGAAAGATTTATATTACCTATAAGCTTACCACCTTGAAGTGCCACAACATTTATTTTCAAGGATTTATCTGGCAGAGCTCCATCAGGATGATATTGATTTGCTCAAATCTGATGAATCGACTCAGATGACGGGTAGAAAACCAACATATTTTCATTGGGCACGACAAGGATTCTGATGTGACCAATGATATAGAGGAAATGTTGAACAATCTAAAACGTCAGATTATGAAGAGTAGGTCCATATATGGGGAAGCTAGTCTAGTATGTCGTGTTATAGTCAACGCCTGTGGACGTCATACTGACACAAGATGTATTTTTAACCCTATCAGTGCACATTTTGTGAAAACATTGACATAAATATGACTGTGTCAGTTAGTGTATGTCTTACGTATGAGAAGTTGAGTGACTGTGCTAGCTATAGGTGGAGAGAGAACACACGTTAAGGGAGGGACATAAAAAGAACTGTTCCTTTGTTGTTTAAATATCAATATCATTTTGGTGTTTTTTTTTATAACAAAATGTTTTGATGATGTGTGCTCTGCAAACAATCCTGGGGCAATATACTGTAGTCCAAATATACTGTGGAATCAATATATGAGAACAGTAAATAATACTTCGTTACAAGACAATTTGGGGGAAATGTGTAGCATACTCCAGTTACTACATTTCTGTCTTGTTAACATGAAGCAGAATTATGGCAACAGTAAACACTACATGTTGCTGTCGTAGAGATAGGGTTAATACTGTCACAGATAGGGTTAATACTGTCATAGATAGGGTTAATACTGTCACAGATAGGGTTAATACTGTCATAGATAGGGTTCATACTGTCACAGATAGGGTTAATACTGTTATAGATAGGGTTGAATGCCGTCACAGATAGGGTTAATACTGTCATAGATAGGGTTAATACTGTCACAGATAGGGTTAATACTGTCACAGATAGGGTTAATACTGTCATAGATAGGGTTCATACTGTCACAGATAGGGTTAATACTGTTATAGATAGGGTTGAATGCCGTCACAGATAGGGTTGAATACAGGTGGTTTAAATACATGATTGAATGTCAGTTGGAATAGTTCTGCATTTATTTAAGATTAGAATCACGTGTTGTTAGTTAGTTGAAATAATCTCACAACTGCGTGCTCCTTCCGGTGATGTGATGTCGAAGATGACGTCCAGGTGTGCTTGAGTTAATTTTATTGTAACAGTGTTTCAAATGGCATCAATTATTTTGACCATTCATTGCAGAGGATCCTTCTTAGTTTCCGCAATGATGACAGGCCAGTTTTTCCAAATCCTTTTCATGTGTCAAAGAGACATTATCAAAATGTTGTACTACATCACAATGTGACTTTTTTGCTCTGTGGTTTGTGGTTATACTTGTTAAACTGTCTTTCATTTGTTTTATGGTTTGCCAGTATATATACAAGTCCATGTGTCGTCAGTGGTTGTTGTGTTGTGATATCCACAATCGTTGTTCGTGCTGTGCAGACATAGTTCAGGAGGTCAGAGGATTTGTCTTACAGTATCACTGTATCACGCTGTATCACATAGTGAGTGAGTGAGTTGGGTTTAACGCCGCTTTTAACAGTATTCAAGTTATATCACGGCGTGTCAGCTTAATGTGGGAGGAAAGCCCAAAGTGATGTAGGTCTTAGACGTTTATCACTTCGGTGAAACCCACGAGCACGGGTATGGTGCTGACAAACCTAGAAACATAATTGGGGCGAACCGGGATTCGAACCCACAATCATAGTGTATCACATAGGGAGAGGGTGGGTGAAGTGGGGAGAGGCCCCAGGATGGGTGAAGGGGGGGAGAGGCCCCAGGGTGGGTGAAGGGGGGGAGAGGCCCCAGGGTGGGTGAAGTAGGGAGAGGCCCCAGGGTGGGTAAAGTGGAGAGAGGCCCCAGGGTGGACAAAGTCGGGAGAGGCCCCAGGATGGGTGAAGTGGAGAGAGGCCCCAGGGTGGACAAAGTCGGGAGAGGCCCAAGGGCTGGTGAAGTGGGGAGAGGCCCCAGGGTGGGTGAAGTAGGGAGAGGCCCCAGGGTGGGTAAAGTGGAGAGAGGCCCCAGGGTGGGTGAAGTGGGGAGAGGCCCCAGGGCAGGTGAAGTAGGGAGAGGCCCCAGGGCAGGTGAAGTAGGGAGAGGCCCCAGGGTGGGTAAAGTGGGGAGAGGCCCCAGGGTGGGTAAAGTGGAGAGAGGCGTCAGGGCAGGTGAAGTGGAGAGAGGCCCCAGGGCAGGTGAAGTGGAGAGAGGCCCCAGGGCGGGTAAAGTGGAGAGAGGCCCCAGGGCGGGTAAAGTGGAGAGAGGCCCCAGGGCAGGTGAAGTAGGGAGAGGCCCCAGGGTGGGTGAAGTGGAGAGAGGCCCCAGGGCAGGTGAAGTGGAGAGAGGCCCCAGGGCAGGTGAAGTGGAGAGAGGCCCCAGGGCGGGTAAAGTGGAGAGAGGCCCCAGGGCGGGTAAAGTGGAGAGAGGCCCCAGGGCAGGTGAAGTGGAGAGAGGCCCCAGGGCGGGTAAAGTGGAGAGAGGCCCCAGGGTGGGTGAAGTGGAGAGAGGCCCCAGGGCAGGTAAAGTGGAGAGAGGCCCCAGGGTGGGTGAAGTGGAGAGAGGCCCCAGGGTGGGTGAAGTGGGGAGAGGCCCCAGGGCGGGTAAAGTGGAGAGAGGCGTCAGGGCAGGTGAAGTGGAGAGAGGTGTCAGGGCAGGTGAAGTAGGGAGAGGCCCCAGGGTGGGTGAAGTGGGGAGAGGCCCCAGGGCGGGTGAAGTGGAGAGAGGCGTCAGGGCGGGTGAAGTGGAGAGAGGCCCCAGGGTGGGTGAAGTGGGGAGAGGCCCCAGGGTGGGTGAAGTGGAGAGAGGCCCCAGGGTGGGTGAAGTGGGGAGAGGCCCCAGGGTGGGTGAAGTGGAGAGAGGTGTCAGGGTGGGTGAAGTGGAGAGAGGCCCCAGGGTGGGTGAAGTGGAGAGAGGCCCCAGGGTGGGTGAAGTAGGGAGAGGCCCCAGGGTGGGTGAAGTGGGGAGAGGCCCCAGGGTGGGTGAAGTGGAGAGAGGCCCCAGGGTGGGTGAAGTGGGGAGAGGCCCCAGGGTGGGTGAAGTGGAGAGAGGCGTCAGGGCGGGTAAAGTGGAGAGAGGTGTCAGGGCAGGTGAAGTGGGGAGAGGTGTCAGGGCAGGTGAAGTGGGGAGAGGCCCCAGGGTGGGTGAAGTGGGGAGAGGCCCCAGGGTGGGTGAAGTGGAGAGAGGCCCCAGGGTGGGTGAAGTGGGGAGAGGCCCCAGGGTGGGTGAAGTGGAGAGAGGTGTCAGGGAAGGTGAAGTGGAGAGAGGCCCCAGGGCGGGTGAAGTGGGGAGAGGCCCCAGGGTGGACAAAGTAGGGAGGGAATGGGCAAAGTAGGGAGAGGGAACTGAGAATTTAGTGGTATAATCAGAAGACACTCCTGAACTGTTGCTGCTGCCTTGTCCTATGAAGATGTCCGATCTCCTCCAGACAGCTGGTGATGTTCACAGCCCTGCCCATCATGTTTCCTGTATGATCTGCTAGATTCTCTCAACACAGAAGTACTTTCAATCCAAATTTTACTGATATAACACAATGTCTATCATTCAGAAATCCCACATCTTATTCTAGATACAAAATCAAATTTCATATCTTCAATTTTCTTAAACCTTTTTACCTTTTAGGACAGGATAAAATACAAATTCATACATATGGCTTTACATCAATACAAGTATGAATGACAAACAGCAGGACTTATTCCCCTAGGAATGTGTAGGCATGGTGTAGGCATGGTGTAGGCATGGTGGGGGCTGATGCTGTCCGGGCACCATAGGAGTAGGAATCTGAGGGCAAACAACGCAGGACTGTTTTTGTTATGATCTATATACATTTATATAATCATATCTAAGGATCATTGTCCATGTCTGCCTTTCCTGCCACTCATGAAGCTGGTCTCCATCTCTGCTTATAGAGGTTGTCTGTCCATCAGTCTACAAGGTTACCATGGTTACAGTGCTCATAGCTTTTCAGCCATTGTTTTATATATACAATTGGTTTTGTCCTTCCCAGACTTATTGTGGATAATGTTTTCATATACAAATAATAGTTGTCAGAAGCTGTATTTTGAAGTCAAGTAAACAAGCATATGTATAAACAATGTCCTTTGTTGTTTTTAGCTCACCTGGCTGTAAGTCAAGTGATTTTATACATTGCCGAAGTAGCGGTCATAAAATTTCCGAGTCCCGTGATGGGATTCGAACCACAGACCTTGATCAGAGGTTGGACGCCTTGTCCACATGACCAAAGAGGCAAGCTGACAAGGTAAGGATGTCATCTGTGGGATGACTCCACGCCCTGCTACACCTGCATATAATATCAGTTGTCCATGGATGTCAGGGTTGGTGGTATCTGCAAACATGTCCTCAGAAACCACTGGACCAATGAAGGTGAAACTTGCCAGGCTATTTCCCTCCAGACACCATGAAGGTGAAACTTGCCAGGCTATTTCCCTCCAGACACCATGAAGGTGAAACTTGCCAGGCTGTTTCCCTCCAGACACCATGAAGGTGAAACTTGCCAGGCTATTTCCCTCCAGACACCATGAAGGTGAAACTTGCCAGGCTATTTCCCTCCAGACACCATGAAGGTGAAACTTGCCAGGCTATTTCCCTCCAGACACCATGAAGGTGAAACTTGCCAGGCTATTTCCCTCCAGACACCATGAAGGTGAGACTTGCCAGGCTGTTTCCCTCCAGACACCATGAAGGTGAAACTTGCCAGGCTATTTCCCTCCAGACACCATGAAGGTGAAACTTGCCAAGCTATTTCCCTCCAGACACCATGAAGGTGAAACTTGCCAGGCTGTTTCCCTCCAGACACCATGAAGGTGAAACTTGCCAGGCTATTTCCCTCCAGACACCATGAAGGTGAAACTTGCCAGGCTGTTTCCCTCCAGACACCATGAAGGTGAAACTTGCCAGGCTATTTCCCTCCAGACACCATGAAGGTGAAACTTGCCAGGCTATTTCCCTCCAGACACCATGAAGGTGAGACTTGCCAGGCTGTTTCCCTCCAGACACCATGAAGCTGAAACTTGCCAGGCTATTTCCCTCCAGACACCATGAAGGTGAAACTTGCCAAGCTATTTCCCTCCAGACACCATGAAGGTGAAACTTGCCAGGCTGTTTCCCTCCAGACACCATGAAGGTGAAACTTGCCAGGCTATTTCCCTCCAGACACCATGAAGGTGAAACTTGCCAGGCTATTTCCCTCCAGACACCATGAAGGTGAAACTTGCCAGGCTGTTTCCCTCCAGACACCATGAAGGTGAAACTTGCCAGGCTATTTTCTTCCAGACACCATGAAGGTGAAACTTGCCAAGCTATTTCCCTCCAGACACCATGAAGGTGAAACTTGCCAGGCTGTTTACCTCCAGACACCATGAAGGTGAAACTTGCCAGGCTATTTCCCTCCAGACACCATGAAGCTGAAACTAGCCAGGCTATTTCCCTCCAGACACCATGAAGCTGAAACTAGCCAGGCTGTTTCCGTCCAGACACCATTAAGCTGAAACTTGCCAGGTTGTTTCCCTCCAGACACCATGAAGGTGAAACATGCCAGGCTATTTCCCTCCAGACACCATGAAGGTGAAACTTGCCAGGCTATTTCCCTCCAGACACCATGAAGCTGAAACTTGCCAGGCTTTGTGCTTTGACCCTCCCTTTATTCTCTTAAAGTTCATTTGTGCAAACTGTTCGATAGATGAAACTGCCAGACTGATGGAACTGTTAGATTGATGAAATGAAAAATTGTGTGTTTGTGGTAAGGTCTGTGGTTGTTTGTGGAACAAAGCGTTCCTGCAATGTTTAAAATCTCATGTACAATGAGATGTCATGCCTGTACAGATGAAATGAGATACCTGTACAGATGAGATGAGATACCTGTATAGATGAGATGAGATACCTGTACAGATGTGATGACATACCTGTACAGATGAGATGACATACCTGTACAGATGAGATGAGATACCTGTACAGATGAGATGACATACCTGTACAGATGAGATGAGATACCTGCACAGATGTGATGACATACCTGTACAGATGAGATGTCATGCCTGTACAGATGAAATGAGATACCTGTACAGATGAGATGACATACCTGTACAGATGAGATGAGATACCTGTACAGATGAGATGACATACCTGTACAGATGAGATGAGATACCTGCACAGATGACATACCTGTACAGATGAGATGACATACCTGTACAGATGAGATGACATACCTGTACAGATGAGATGACATACCTGTACAGATGAGATGAGATACCTGTATAGATGAGATGAGATACCTGCACAAATGAGATGACATACCTGTACCTGTACAGATGAGATGACATACCTGTACAGATGAGATGACATACCTGTACAGATGAGATGACATACCTGTACAGATGAGATGAGATACCTGCACAGATGAGATGATATACCTGCACCTGCACAGATGCTATTACATACCTGTACAGATGAGATGAGATACCTGCACAGATGAGATGACATACCTGAACCTGTACAGATGAGATGACATACCTGTACCTGTACAGATGAGATGACATGCCTGTACCTGTACAGATGAGATGACATACCTGTACAGATGAGATGATATACCTGTACAGATGAGATGACATACCTGTACAGATGAGATGATATACCTGTACAGATGAGATGACTTACCTGTACAGATGAGATGACATACCTGTACAGGTGAGATGACATACCTGTACAGATGAGATGACTTACCTGTACAGGTGAGATGACATACCTGTACAGATGAGATGACATACCTGTACAGATGAGATGACATACCTGTACAGATGAGATGACATACCTGTACAGATGAGATGAGATACCTGCACAGATGAGATGACATACCTGCACAGATGAGATGACATACCTGTACCTGTACTGATGAGATGACATACCTGTACAGATGAGATGAGATACCTGTACAGATGAGATGACATACCTGTACAGATGAGATCACATACCTGTACAGATGTGATGAGATACCTGTACAGATGAGATGACATACCTGTACAGATGAGATGACATACCTGTACAGATGAGATGACATACCTGCACAGATGAGATGATCATCTTCCCGAGGCAAGTGGGATAACTAACTTTAAAAGCCTGGATGGAAACTGGCCTTTTCCCGTCAGTTACCAACCTTGCCGAGGGAAGATGTGAGATGATATACCTGTACCTAATAATAATCTCCGAAAACAGTTAATGGTGTAATGTAATAACCCCTGCTCTTGGCCCAACAGACAAAAATATATAATCAACTTGTGGTCTTGGGTTCAAGTTATTTAAATTAAAAAATCAATGTGTAACATCAGCTGAGTTTATTGGTGAGGCTGTAACCCAAGTATTGTGTAACCACGAGCTGAAGCGTATCTCGTGGCATGAGCCAGATCGTGCACACGACGCTGACATTGTATATCACCGGACTATACATCTCGTGGCATGAGCCAGATCGTGCACACAACGCTGACATTGTATATCACTGGACTATAAATCTCTGGCATGTGGCTGGGGGAACTGATGAATCACTGAACGAGCAAACAATCTACAAGTCTGATATCCCCAGGAGACAGGCTGAAGGCTTTTACACAAATACTCCTTTATGCAGTAAGGCTATCGTTATTTTTCCGTGCCATAAAACAAGCACAACTTTACGTGTGACCGCCACACACACTATTATAGAGCCATTTCCACACATATCATTATAAAATTTGATATGCAGCAATTTAGCCGCCGGATAAAGATCTACGAAAAGGCACACGTACTATTAAATTCAGCTCTCTTGAACAACGAGATGATACCCTAAATTTATCTAATGTACACTCACTATTGTCATCATGTCAGATGAAGTGCAATAACAATCTGAAATCAGAAATCTGATATGCTCTCAGGATTTTACAGACATACATATTTTCTGCTATGTTAACCCCGTTTCACTTCAGGCTTTCCTCCCACATCAAGCTTCCACGCCGTGATGTAACTATAAAATAATGTTTAAAGCGGCGTTAAACTAAACTCACTCACTTCATCTTAGTATGCTGACAAGAATGGCAACGTATGCAAAATACATTCAGCTTCTTAATTGAAACTATTGATCGTCTTAATCAATTTTAGTCAATCTGTTAAAGAAATGGACAGATTTTTCAGTCAAAATGACTGAAATATTTACGCATTTTAGAAATTGCCTGAGAGAATCACATTTTACAAATTGACTATAATATATACACGCTTACAAAGGAAAAGACTTGTGAAAACAACGTCAAGAGGAACAAGAATGAATCTGTCCAGTGCTACAGCAAATGAAGGAAAAGAAAATGCAAATATCATTATTACAACCAACCAAATTTATGTGTATAATTTTAGGCACCTTCCTTGTTCGAGGAATGTATCCGTGAATATCCACACAAAGGAACAATATCCCCCACGTTTGCAGCTGTACAAAGAAACTTATTCGATGTCACGTGTTTCTGTAACAATCAAATATTTTAAAATATATATACTTTCAAAAAAAAAGAAACTTGACACTGACTTTCAAAATGTAATATAATGCGATTGTTTCAAAATAGGACACAGAAACCATAATTGAAACACTGTTTGAAGATCAATGTACACAATGTTCAAAACATTAATCGTGTCACCTAGACAGACACACGTACACGATACAGTTAATGTCACAGGGGTACAGAAAATGGCAGTATCGGTTGTGCCCACCACGTGCATCAATCACCGCTTGACACCGACGACCCATAGATGCAATCAAGTTGTCAATAACACGCTGTTGGATGTGCTGCCATTCATGCTGAAGTGCATCAAGAAGCGCCGGAAGTGTTTGGGGCGGTGGATTCCTTCTGCGAACGCGTCGATCCAACTCGTCCCACAGATGCTCAATCGGGGACAAATCTGGTGACCGGGCTGGCCAAGGTAATGTCTGGATGTTGTTGTGCTGTAAGAAGTCCTGACAAACACGTGCAATATGCGGTCGAGCGTTGTCCTGCTGGAACCGTCCGCCATGAACGTTGACGTGAGGAAGAACGTAAAGCTGTAGGATCAAGTCTCTGTAACGCACATCTGTCAATGCACCTGCCACATGCACGAGAGGCGTCCTACCACCGTGATGAATTCCGGCCCATACCATGACACTCCCGCCGCCAAATGGGACAACCTGCTGCACACAGTTGGGGGCGTAACATTCACCCCTACGTCTGTAGACACGTGCGCGCCCATCAGCACGTGTGAGTAGGAAACGGGACTCGTCAGTAAACAGTACATTTCTCCACCTTGCACGTGCCCATCTAACCCTCTGTTGGCACCAAAGCAGACGGTCCGCCAGATGACGTGGGGGTCAATACATGACGTCGAACAGGTCTTCGTGCAAAAAGTCCAGCCTCCCTCAGTCTGTTGCGTACCGTTTGATCTGATATTCTGCGTACCCCAGGGATCTGTGTGGTTGTAGACGTGGCTGTGGTAGTGCGGTCTCGGAGGTGTCGCAGTCGGATGTATCGATCTTGTGCTTGGGTTGTCACCCTTGGTCTTCCTGACCTTGGTCTGTCGTCAACTCTGTTGGTGTTGTTGTATCGGGTCCACAGTGCGGAGATTGTCTGTCTGGATACGCCAAAGTGCCTGGCCACTTCTTGCTGAGTTCCTCCAGCTTGTAATCTCCCAATGGCGTTGTTCCGTTGAGCTGCATTCAGTCTTGGCATTCTGTCACTGCCTCTACTGTCGTTATAAGGACTGTATGAACAGCCGTTGATGTGGATTTTTATACCCATTCAGCAGGGGGGCCTGCATGCCTAAATGCAGGATCCTGTGCTGCACGTTTTTTTTACAGGCGGGTGCGTTTGGATGAAGCTGTAAAATTGACCCCCAAACGCTACGTTTATGTGCTTTGTATGTGTTTTGCGAATTATAGACACATCATCTTTCTGTTTGACTTATTTGGTTCTCATTTAATGTAATTATTTTAGATATTTGGCAAAAAGTGGTTTTACATCTATGTCAAGTTTCTTTTTTTGAAGAGTATATATCGTTTTGGGGTATTATAACCCGTGTTCGTTTCTCAACTGATCACTTAGATTGTTTCAGGTGTTTCACATAGGTGTCAAGTCTCAAGGGTCGGCTGAGAAAGCCCAATTGACAACTATTTTCAAAACGTCCACGGTTCCTAAAAACTCCATTGAGTGAGATAGCAATGAGCAGTCAATCAACGTAGTATCGGTTAACCCTTTGGACAAAGTATGTTGTTTTTACATTGGCACCTCACGCCATGATATGAGTGTATTCCCTTTGTTTTAGTAAACCTAGACATGTAAACACTCACTTTTGACATATCCACTGTGCAAGATAACAGTGATTTATCAATCAATGTATTTTCTGTTAATCCTTTGATGACTAAGAACGATCCGTTGATTTACAAAAAAGTAAATCAACTGATCATTCATCTCTTGCGGGGCTGCCACGTGCATATTACATAACACACATTTCACCTCGCTTCAAAACTGGATTTAGATTGAATAATTACCACAAACACAATAAATACCAAATGGGAACCTTCGTCAGGTATTCTGAGTGGTGCTACCACTAATCATACCTGTATTAAATTCATTAACTGAGCATCAAGTGAATGACGACAAATACACAAGTGTAGCAATATACCAGAAAACGTGGATGACAACAAGGGAGTAGTAATCGTATTATCGACGCAATCCGAAATCCGAAAATGCTTTCACTGCATGGATACATTTTTTCATTATTAAACTATACTGAACCGCAAAAGAAACGTCACCATGAATATATATATATGAGAAACCTTATTTGTCCAAACACTGTAAACATTCTTTGAGACATATTAAAAAGATGAAACTTGGCAAAACTGATCATGAAGTTTGAAATTAGTGTCAAATGTTCTTAAAGTGAAACTCAACACTAGTCGCTGAGAAAATGGCATCACAAGTCAGTATCCCGTGGGTCCGCCATGTTCATTGATGACTGCCGTGCAACGTCGATACATGGGATGGATGAGGCGGTTGGTGAAGGCCACACGCACTTGAGCCCACACTCTGAGGAACGCCTGACGTAGTTCAGCTGCAGTTGTCGGCCTTGGTCGGACGTCATTCAGCCGTCTTTGAATCTCGTCCCACATGTGCTCAATGGGATTTAAATCGGGACTCAGGGCAGGCCACTGCATGGTTCTGATGCCATTCTGCTGGAGGAAGTGTCTTGTTGCTCTCGTAGTGTGGGCACGGGCGTTATCATGCTGAAACTCGTGGTTGCGGCGACGTGCCAAATGAGGTATGGCGTGTGGTCTCAAGACTTGATCAATGTACCAAACTGCAGTGACACCATTGCCTCTCCCTGGACCGATGTTCTGGAAGACCACAGGACCGACCCACTGTGCAAGACCAATTCCACCCCTCACCATGATGCTCGGACCACCCCACGAGTCTATCTCAACAACACAAGCATCCGAATAATGTTCCCCACGGCGTCGTCTGACTCTCTCTCTCTGCCATCTGCTGTTGAGATACAGTAACGGCTCTCGTCTGAAAAGAGGAGTTTTCTCCACTGCTGGTGGAGAAAATGCTGGTGCTGTGTTGCCCACTGAAGACGGTCCTGGCGATGAAGTGGTGTCAGAATGGGTCCTTGGTGTGGCCTGTGACAGTGGAGGTGTCTGTTCGTCAATCGTCGACGCACGGTGTCCGCACTTATGTGTGGCTGGTGTGTCCCCATGGTCTGTCGAGTAGTTTCCGCAGCTGTAACAAAGCGATCTTAAAGATGCTGTCGCACAATCTGACGATCCTGGCGTCGGGTGGTGACCCTTGGTCTACCACTACGTGGCCGGTCATCTGTAGTGTTGGTGGTCTGGTACCGTTGCTGGAGCCTGTATATGGTCCTTACGTGGACTTGAAATGTATTTGCTACTTGTCGGGAGGTTTGTCCAGTTTGCAGTCGACCAAGGGCTTGGTGTCGCTGATTTCTTGTCAATCTTGGCATGTGGTAGCAATTCAATAACGAATGAATGTTATCCGATCTGGGTGGATTTTGAGAGGGCAAGACACGGGGGAACGCATGTG